ACACAAGATGTCAGGCAGACAGAGGCAACCAAAATGAAGATAGGGGCTACTGGCCCCCCACTGCAAATAGTCTCAACTGTGATATTTACATATGAATGGGCGGCAATTTTTATATATGAATAAGCCACGACTCATTCTCCCAAAAAAATGTCCTCGCGTCGATTGAGTGTTCGGGTTTCGCTTGAAGAAAAGGTGGCAACCCTACTTTGGAGTATGGAAGGAAACCGGAGAACCCACACAAGCACAGGGAGAACATGCAACCTCCTTGCAGATAGTGTCCTGACCAGGGACCCTCAAGGCAGAAGTGCTAACCACTACACCACTGTGCTGCCCAGAAAAAGTTTGCAGTATGCAGTGAAATCAGAGTCAGCAGTTTTAGTATGGAGAGGAGCCTGTACAACTGTAGAGGACTGAAGGTTAGGCTAACCCCACCTCCCTGAATGCAGCCTGCCTGGTAAAATACTTCCCTGCATTCCCATTGCATGGTTTGTACTGTTGAATGGCTGGGACTGCCATAAGTATGGACCATTTATAGGCATGAATGGGGCCATGGCACACATCAGCACTACTGCTGGGCTAGGTAGCACAGTGAAGATCTCGGAAACTAGGAAGAAAGTTGATATTTCACCTTGCCAGCTGAATTCAGGGGGTGGGCGGTTAAATGACCTTTAGTGAAGTTGTCCTTTAATGACTCTCTGAACTGGAACATAAGCCTCTAACTTCACTGGCTCCATGCTTCTCAGTGACTTACTAAGCAGTACACATACAGAATAAGCATGACAACGTATAGCAAGTAATATATTACACGGATATTTTAGCAACTAATAAGTAAACAAACAACAAAGGCAGCTCTCTATTTCCATGATACTTCTTTACTTTCGTCTATCAGAAAATGGATGCATGCATGCTTTGGGTTTTCTTCTTAGTTCTGCTCTCAGTTTACATTCGTCTTCATTTGATGTATGACAACAAAATATAAGATATTTTATTACAGATGTACAGGTATGTAAAGGAGAATGAGAAGGTCACACGGCGTCTGGGCATGTGCACTGAAACATATTCACCTGACAATATTTTTCACTCAATACCAGGAAATAAGCTAACCACAGCAGATATGACAAGCCACAGGAACTTAGTGCTAACAAACGGCTCTTCAAAATATGTACTTGTGAACTGTGTTTTGCTATTTGAAGTTATATCATGAATTGATTTGTATATTTCATTATGTTTCAATGCATTTCTGTTTTGGTACCACAGAGCTTTCAATCTAATTTCCAGATCATGATCATATATGTTTTCTCTGTGACTAATACAAGTGAATAACCAATATACTTTTTAAATGGTGGTAGAAAACTAGGAGGAATCTCACATAGAGAGAACATACGAGCTTGGTGCAGATGATGGTCTGGGGAAAATCAAACCCTAGCACATGGTCACATCCACAAACCACTTTTTATGCGATACAATTTAGGATATTTTGCATCTTATATGACATTTTCCACATGTGTGTGTTTAGTTTTCTTTTTCAATATTTTTATTGTTTCACAAGAAAAAAGAAATTCCATGTTCAAAAACAGGAAATAAGGTATACAAATACTTAGGGAGATCATACAAGGTATTAAGTACTGCAAAACTCTGTATAAACGGACCAGAACAACAGCAACAGCATTTTTAAATTGACTTCTGAGTTTAGTGTCCCTCTAAACATTGGAATCTTTAATCGTTTTTCATGCATTTTTTGTGCGTTTTTAGGCTTAAAGGAGTTCTAAACTCACAGCATATGTTATCCTGTGATAACAACAGCTTTTATGTAGTGAGTGCTGACTTCCATCTGTCCATCACTTTTAGCAACGTCCTGGATTCCCAGTGTGCTTTGCATCTCTTTCAATGTTGCTTGATGGGATGCAGTCTCAATTTCTCACGAATACATAACCCATCATGCATTGCTTCCAGCAAGCCATGATAATGTTACATTGTTCAGACATTGAGTTGTAGTTCAGAAGGCAGACTCTGTGAGTTGAGGCACAAGGAAGTACATCCCATGGGCATCTTCAATAAGTTTATGAACTTGTAGATCAATATGGCTATTAGGATATTGATAGAATGTAGAAATTCAATATAGAAATACTATTTCTTTTTAGTTTTTTACCACAGATACCTTTTATACCTTTTTTGTTTTAGCCAATGGAAAGCTAATTACGAGGAGGAGGAGACAGTTGTTAAGCATAAAATTGCATGGAAAACACACGTTATGTGTGTTTTTCAGGCATTTTTTGGGTTCTCCTATTGTAGTCTTTTGGGGCCAGAAATGCACAATCAAGCCCCAAAGAAGCTACTGTACTTTTTGAAATGCTGAGCAACAGCACTTTGCTCAGATGGGCACAATAGAATAACATGGAAATCTGAGTGCGGAGCACTGAAGCACATCTGGAAACGTGCTTTAACCTACTAAGGTATAAATGGGCTCAGAATAAAACAGGAGCTTTTATAGTGTATGCCATCTGCTCCTTGTGACCTAATCAAGAACAACATAAGATAGATTGTATGTGTTTCATACACACTGGGGAGCTGCTTTGACCAAGGAAGATATGGTATCATATAATATGATATAGGGCATAATGTTAATGGTTGTGGTGTGTTATTCATTTATTTAAAGTGGAGCTCCAGGAAATGATTTTTCACATTTATATTGGTCCAGCTTGGCTCGATGTTAATATCCATAGCGGATACCTGGAGGGATCTGCTGGGGATCCTGAAAAGCACTGTAGTAGGCTACACTACGTACAGTGATAGCCGTGATCTTCTGGCTGTGGCTCCAGCAGTAGACATGTGCATTTGGATTCGGACGTACCTGCAAATCAACAAAATTCAGTTGATTCGGCGGGTGCCTCTGAATCCAAAACAGCGAAAACATTTGTTTTCTTTGATGAAACAAATGGAAATGTTTTCCGTTTCCATTTGTTTTGTCAGAAAACACATTTTTATGTCGTGCACATGTCTATCCAGCAGCTTCCCCTCTGCACACTGAGTGCAGGGAGTCACTCCCTGGGCACCGCTGCCATTTAATGAATAAAAGACATTCTTTGACTGGACAAGTTGGAGATCATGATGTCATCTGCCCCTCCTTTCCACCTCATCCTATCAGAGGGAGCTTTGTATTCATTGAAAAAAATAAAAATCAAGGTGTTCTCTCAATGACGACGGTGCCGATTGAGTCTCTGTTTTCTTTGTGCAAAGAGGGGAAGCTGCTGGACCACCGCCTGGAAGATCAGGGCTATCTCTATATGTAGCATGGACTACTACAGTGAATTTCAGGATCCCCAGTGTCCCTCTGGATAGTGGCTATAGATATTACATTGAGTCACGCTGAACCAATGTAAGCTTGCACAAAAGGTAATTCATGGAGTTCCACTTTCAATCTGAAGAATGAGTAAAGTCTTTAATATTTAGGCAAATAACATTGATAGATATCAAACAGAAATAGGTTCAGACTGGTCTGCATGGTAGTTTTCCCCTTGGCTACCAGGCAGTCTCTGTTTTCTTTGTGCAAAGGGGAAGCTGCTGGAGCACCACCTGGAAGATCAGGGCTATCTCTATATGTAGCATGGACTACTACAGCGAATTTCAGGATCCCCAGTGTCCCTCTTGATAGTGGCTATACCCTGTTTCCCCGAAAATAAGACCTACCCCGATAATAAGACCTGGTACTATTTTTGGGCATTTGCTAAAATATAAGACCTACCCCGAAAATAAGACCTAGTTGTGACCTTTCCCAGGGCCGGTGGTTGCATAAGGGGGAACTTGAAGAGCCGGAGGAGAGAATCAGCGGTGCCAACGAAGCCAGCGCTAGAGGAAGCAAGGCGGCACCGGAGGGAGCAGAGCCGCATAAGCCGATGCTTCCTCCTGTCACAGGCGGAGTGATACCAAACTCACTCCGCCTGTGAGGAATACTAGTGAAAGCGCGATTGGTTACCAAATTGCTCTTTGAAAGGTACGGCACCCCTGATTTCCCTGATCACCATATTCTTAACTTTGCCATTTTGGATTATTTAATTTGGATTTGCATTAACTTTGGATTGTTGTACATTAAAAAAAAAAATAAGACCTACCCTGAAAATAAGACCTAGTGTGTTTTTTTGAGCCAAAAAATATATAAGACAGTGTCTTATTTTCGGGGAAACACGGTACATTGAGTCACGCTGAACCAATGTAAGCTTGTACAAAAGGTAATTCATGGAGTTCCACTTTCAATCTCAAGAATGAGTAAAGTCTTTAATATTTAGGCAAATAACATTGATAGATATCAAACAGAAATAGGTTCAGACTGGTCTGCATGGTAGTTTTCCCCTTGGCTACCAGGCAGAAGCCGTGTACACAAAGGGGGTTCGTTTATAAAAGTTCTGCGTGGCATATAGCAAGTATTAGGCCCCATTCACATAAATAGCCGCGATATCGCGGGAATTACCGCGCGATAAATCGCTCAGTGTGAATGGGGCCTTAGGGTTTTCCAAGACAACAAAAAAAAGTTGGTCCATGTACAAAGTGGCATATGAACCACAAGTGACATCCACACTGGAATATAATGAATGCCTGATATAGTTTATATAGCAGCATCAGTTTGCTGCTAAAATACCATAATAGGGTTTGTTTTTTATCTTCCAAACAAGAGCAAGGCTTGTTCCTATTCTGCTGTAACTACTACTGTAGCAGTGTACTCAAAATATTTGGAATTGAAAAGAACAGGTGCTGCTGTCATTTGTGACTGGCCATCTAAATCAGGAAAGCGAGGGCTGGAGTTAATGTTAAGGAGGTATGCTTGCCAATGCAGAGACCACTGTAGAACTTCCTCCAACAGTAAGAGAATGGCTCAGTAAACTCACATAGACTTCTCCTTTTACTCTCTTCCTGACTGTCATAGATAACCCGCTGAAAGAAAGAATTGGCATTTATAACAAGGAAACCTTTCCGGTCTTTTTTCTCCTCTGTCATACAGGAAAGATTATGTCTCCATTTTTGCGCATAAGTCTTTCTAATTTTGAACTTGGACCGTACGTGCAATCTAATGGAGAGGCAACACAGAAACCCTATTGTGCTGTCATCATGAAAGAACCTATTGACACAGGTAAGCTCACTTAATACTTTGCAATGTCTTGTAATATGTTGCAATATGTTTAATCAAGGCTGTCACAGTTTACTTTGGCCAATTCTGGATGAACATATTAAATGGAAAAATATGCTGCTTGTCTGAATATGCAAATCATTTACTTAAATGTGGTCAAGATCTAATATTTAAAATGATACAAGCTGGTATATTGTATGCATTACAGTGCAAAGCTTGTCAGTGAGTTCTATCAAAGTACACTTAAATACAAATGTAATAGGTTTATGTAAAAATATACAATGATGCTAGGTCTGATGTTATATTTAAATGTTAACATGTAAGCATAGCCAAAACTTTAAAAAAAATGTTTTTTGGATAGAGTAGGGAAGAGTTAGAACCCTGTCAAGTTTTTATCACTGTCCAGGTCCTGTTGGGTGGATTCACCCTCCCTATTTGTCCTGGTGACCATTGTACCTAAGACAGAAAGTGATGGGAAAATAAAAGTTTAGGTTGTCACCAGAACATCTTCCAGTGGGGACACTTGTTTTGGTGACAACTGTCAGCAGAGAATGTTGCTCACTTTGTAGAGATTTCCTTTCACATTTGTATGCGTTGAAAACACAGACACCAAAAAAAAAAAAACTGGCAGGGATTTCAACCCTTCTCTACTCTATCCAATGCTGAAAAAAGTTTTGGCTACTAACACTGTGCTCTTGAAGTTCAATTTCTAGACTTGTGGGATGTTCTAATAATACTACAAGAGGGTACAATAATAATACTGTATTTAAAACAGGAAATGGAATGGAAATCAGAACAAACTATTATCAGCAAACTATTGTAAGCGCTAAAGCTGAACTTCAGGTGAACCGCTAAATACGCAAATGAAAAACATATACTGTACGTCCTATATTCCAAATGATTTGTAATTCTGTTCAGTCAGTCTTGTTAACCAGGAGCTCCTGCCAAACAGCATAAACAGGTTGTTGACCTTACTATTCTACTCATAGATAAGCAATAAAGTAGCATAACCACTGTTAATTGTGTCATCTCTCTGCTCTCTCTGCTTGTTGCTCCCTATGTAAAAATTGACTGATTTTTGCAATGCACTAGAGTGTGACCTCTCTGTCCCAGTCTAAATCCTGCTGTACTGGGAAATTCAGGAAGCAACTACAACTACAGATTCACTTAACTGTAATATTAACTATATTAATATAATTAATACAATTATTAATTACATTAATATGAATTATAATAACTGTATAGCGGTAGTAATTAAAAATACCATTTTTTAAAGTGCACCTGCACCACACTATGTACGTTACACTATATACATATTCTTAACAAGCATAAAAGAGCTTTAAAAAACAAGCCCTCCCCGACCTCTCTGGCTGCTTTTAAAGCATAACTCCAGGTTGAAAAAAGTGCCACACCCTGCAAAGGTTAAATGCTAATTAATTCTAAGTGGTAGAGAAAGAAGCATTTTTGTATACCTTAACCCCTGTTCAGCAGGTTTCAATGAATCCCTTCTCTCCCCGATGCTCCAGGCTCGGGGGTCCCCCTGCCCTTCTCACCTCGGTGCCCTGCATTGTATATGGAGGAGGCAGACCACGTCCGGTTGTTCCGGTGTTTTATCGAAAGTTCCAACCCGTCAAGATCTCCAACGACCTGACTTCCGGTTTAGTTAGAAGTAAGAGGTTTGGCCGAGAAGGCTCTACTGCACGTGCGCCACCCGCGGCATTTCCCTATACACAAACTACACAGCAATAAAGTATTAAAATGAACTGTCTTCAGAATAATCCAGCACGTTATTCATCTGAGTTGCCCGACTCAATACGTCCACCGCTTGTGGCCATATTGAGTGGGGCAACTCAGATGAATAACGTGCTGGATTAGTGTGACCTTAGTTTATTTTAATACTTTCTGGCTGTGTAGTATGTGTATAGGGAAATGCCGTGGGTGGCGCACGTGCAGTAGAGCCTTCTCGACCAAACCTCTTACTTCTAACTAAACCGGAAGTCAGGTCGTTGGAGATCTCGAGGAGTTGGAGCTTTCGACAGAACACCTGGACTGGTTGCACAGATGTAGGGAGTCCAGCAAAGCGAGGAATAAAGAAACTATTACTCCTTATCCCTCTACCCCTAGACATAACAAGATTTTTTTTTTTTGTACCTGGAATTGGGATTTACTGTGAGATTATTCAAAACTCTACAGTTGGGTTTTAGTCAGTTTCTAACAATTTAGAAACCCTTTCGGATGTTTACATTAGAGGGCTGGCAGGCTGCCAAGATTCTATTTTATACAAAACCACTGCCTGTGTTGTGAACTTTGAAAGTTAAACTCTTTACAATGCTTATAGATACATATAGGTATTTTAGTATTATATTATGCTAATCACTATGCATGATCTAGGCACAGATTCACTCTAATATAGCTAGGTCAAGTTGTATTTTGTAATATCTGCTGGGAGTTCAGCTATATGGCATTCGTGAGTACAAGATGATCATTTATTGGTCCCTGAAATTTCATCGTCTAGTGTACGAGTAGCTGCATTTCCACAAGGTACCTTTGAAGATCACAGATCAAAATGATGGACTATCAGTCATATTAGAACAATTTGGACTGAACACCTATCTCCCTGAGATAAGAGCATTACTTCAGGTTTCTAGAGTTGGCATACACATGTGCACTTTTCCCTAACCCCACCACCTACTGAATTCCAAAACGAATCTGCCCACATACATAATATTATTCCTATTATACAGGATTTATATAGCGCCAACAGTTTGCGCAGCGCTTTACAATATACGGAAGACATTACAATACAATTCAAGACAAGATGGTAAAGAGGGCCCTGCTCCTGAGGGCTTACAATCTAAAATAATAAATAAATAAATAATAATAAATAATAAACCATTAGCCCAATCCAGAGTTTAGTTGGGCAGGGATCGTATGCCTGAGATCTACCACTGAGCTAAGTGTTTTTGGCAGATAAAGTACTTGGCCACGTATGGAAAAAATATACTCACTTCCAAGCACAACCACAGCACAAAAGGGTGGGCCGGCGTGAGTTGGCAAGAAGAGGATCACCCTCCTCCTACGCTTCACCCACTATGTCTTTTTTGGAAACCACAGTAGGGTGATGATCAAAGTGGAGGAAATTAACCACCTAAATACTTATACTCCACTTTTCCTATCAAGCCAAAAACAGATAGCACTTTTATAGAACCCTGAATACAACAATAACAACTAAAAGTATACATCCTCCATATATGTATATGTGCACAAATCTCATTATAGGTACACTACCGTAGTACCTGCCTCCTTGTCTTATACACATCCAATCGTGTCTTACAGCAACACTGGGGGTACCCTCCTATTAACATATATATATAGATATATCTATAGATATAGATATATCTATAGATATAGATATATCTATATTTATATACACACACATGAACACATAAGCCAATTGTAACCACATTATGCTGGCAGTGTTCCATCAAACACATCACCCTGTAAGATATCACAGACTGACGTACAGTCCTATTATCTGGTGCCAGAAATAGATCCAATTATGGACCCAGTGATTAGTACAACCAAACAGGGGCTTGAAACGTGGGGGGACGGGGAGGCACTTGCCCCCGGGCGCTGGTGTGAAGGGGGCGCCGGCAGGGCCGGATTTTCCACAAGCTGCTCTCGCGGCTGCATACAAGTGATCTTGTATGCAGCCTGCTCGTTCGCCACCGTCGGCAAGACCCCCACACCCCTCTGCCGGCTACCTCTCTCCCCACCAACCGGAGATCCTCTCTTCAGAGTGGGGAGCAGAGTAGAGAACGTTCGTTCTCTGCTCTGCTCCATGTAAACAGTGAGAGGGGAGAGCTGTCTTCTCCTCTCAGTTGTCACAGGAGTTCCAGCACAGTGCTGTGCTAGAATTCCTGTATTGGAGGTGATAGGTTCAATAAAGAGAACCTGTCACCTCCAAATGTTATCACACATGGGATTTTTAGCTCCTGTGTGATAGCAATAAAGTTAAGTGAATTTTTTTAATCAAAATAGAAAATAAAAATTGATAAAACAAAGTATAAAATAAATGCAAATTATAAAAAGATAAGTAAAAAATAATGTTAAAAAAGTGATTAAAAAAAGTTTAAAAAAAACAATACAATCTAAAAATTAAAAAAATTATAAGATAAAAAAATTGTAAAAAATAAAATATCAATATAATGAGAAAAATAGAATGTGTAGCTGCCTAGTTTTTGTGATTACAGAGCCGAAGGTTCGGCAGCGGCAGTGGGAGGGACACAGGAGGTGAGCTTTGTGTCTAAAAATCACTGGCTTGATAAGTCAATTGGGGGGGAGGCGAGAGAGGTGGGGTTGTCAGTGTACACAGAGGTGGTGAGATGAGGAACAGGTGTGGGCCGTGTGGGGGTGCTACGAGTGTGCCCAGGAAATGGCCCAGAACTCCCTGGCACCATGGACCAGGGTACGGGACCTAGCACCAGTCCTCTGTAAATCATGGTGTTCTGTTTAATGTATTGCTGGGATTTGTAGTCCTCTATACAGTGGAAGAACTACCAGTGTCACAGCGGTTGCAGCTATGACAGGGCCCTAGCATTTCGCCACTTAGGGGGCCCTGGTAACCGCTGACATTGCAGGTTACTGGACCCCCTTCGTTCAGTCTGTGGTACTCCATCCTTCAGAGTTCAGACTGCATGGATTGTGTGCATCACGATTGAACTATTGTTTGGTTTGTGGGGGAGAGCTAATGAAAGACTTGCCCCCGGGCACCTCGTGACCTTGCTACGGCTCTGCAACCAAACTTCCACCTACATTAACGATCACCATAAACCATAGTGTAAAATAGCCAACCTCATGTGTCCATCACTGTAGCATAAAAAAAATTGAAAAAAGTGCACTACATGGACTAACAGCTTCTGGGGATGTGGGCACAAATGGTTAAAAGACGGTGTGCAAGCTCTATGAGGAGCCCTGTATGGAGCAACAATACACAAATAAGTTTGAGAGCGCTACTACTGTATAGGTAAACTCACGTTTGAGATGTCACTGTGTCTCAGGAAGAGGTCCTCTGTAATCCCTGTATAAAACGTAAATTAGCCAGGGTGAGGTGAAAGTGGGGTAGATAGATACGTGCCTGGATGTACCTAGGCTGGCAAGAATGGTCAAGTGCTGGGGCTGTGCGTACTCAGCTGGCCAGGCTGAGCCGCAACAGCAGTGTGAGGTGTGCGCTGATCCTCACCACATATTCCAGCTTGACAAAGCTGGAATACGTTCCCAGGGACATCATTTGTCTGGGGGGATGGTCTCCTCAATCCGGGTACTGTCCCTGGAAATCAGGGATGAATGTAGGGCTACAACAACTAATTGACTAAGTCGATTATAATCGATGATTTAAAAAGTTCTCAACATTTTCAATCATCGATTATTCACTAACCACCAGGGAAGCTCCACTGGCCACCACAGAGCCCCCACTAACCACCAGGGAGCCCCCACTACCCACCTGGGAGATAACCACAGAGCCACCACTAATTATTAGGGAGCCCCCACTGGCCACCACAGATCCCACACTGACCAGCAGAGAGCCCGCACTGACCACCTGACAGTCCGCATTGGCCACCTGAGAGCCTAATTGGGGAGCCACTTCTGCTGCACACACACGCACCTGTGAAACTCTCTGTACCCCTGGTGAGAGCCCGCACAGCCCACCTGAGACCCTGGAGACATCAGGCAGAGAACCCAGAGCAACAGAATATGTCGCTTCATACCGGTATTATTCTGCATTGCTGTAATATGTATTGCTGGGATTTGTAGTCATCTATAGCTGATGCTGTTCTGCATTGCTGTATATGGTATTGCTGGGAATTGTAGTTCTCTATAGCTTTTGGTAGTCATTATTGCTGGGATTTATAGTTCTCTATAGCCAATGCCATTCTGCAATGCTGTACAATGTATTTCTGAGTTAGTGGCAGAACTACCAGGGTCGCAGCAGTCATGCACGCCCACAGTCCTGACGAGGCATCCCTCCACTACCAGTGTGCTTTAAATTTCCTAAACTGATAAATACATTCACACTACATGGATGGCAAAAGTGGCAGACAGGGGCGGGGAGAAGGCTGGGGAAGAGGCAGAGCGGGAGGGGGGCCAAGTTGCTGCACCATGGGCCTCTGGGTTGTACTTGCCCCCTGGGCTAAAAGTTGTCAGTCAGCCCCTGCTTTGACTACACTGACAAACAGAGCTGTCTGTCGTATAGTGACGGGGAGGACTGGGTGGAGGCTCTCCCTGCGTCCTCCATTGCCATAGTGGTGGTGGGGAGCGGGTTGGTGGTGGACGTGTGCGCAGCAGGGTGCACCCACGTCAGCCGACACGTTGTATGCCAGGACAGGTGAGGCTGATAGGAGGGTTATAGAGGTATATATGGAGGAGTAAAGAATCTATTTCTGGCACCAGATAATGGAAGTGTAGATCAGTCTGTGATATTTTACAGGGTGATGTGTTTGATTGTAGTTTATATATGTTGGATACAATGGATTATGCACATAGATATACATAGCTAAGGACAGGATTAACTCATGTTTTAGATGGAATACATACAGTACATAAAACATATGTGTGCAATATTTGTTGTTTGTACCCGTAGTAGGCCCGAGAAACAGAAGCGGCATTTTGCCTTTTTGAGAGGGCAGTTGACTCAAATTGGCTGTCAGAAGGATCACTTGATAGGGAACGTCTCCTACCAGATTCTGATCGTCACTCTGTAACCGTAAACTGTTGGTAACAGCATGCAGGGTGCATGATTAGGCAAGCACTGGAGAGAAAACAGCAAAGCATTTAAGTGGCAGCACGAAACAAAGCCCACCCTGTGTTACCACATATAAGGCCAGCAAGAAAGGTTTAAGCAACAAGGCTGTCACAAGGCTGTCATAGTCAGCACTGCAGTTTGTTTCCTTCCCCTCTAAGTGAAACATTTTCCATAGTGTGATTTTTTGAATGTGTTAACGGCTTCATAGCAAAGTATCAAAGGATAGCACGTTGCTCACCAACTACTGTCACACACAGAATGTAAATGGCTGAGTCACAATATAATATATGCTGCTGCTAGCAGTTTAATTACCAGAACATATTACTGAATACATAACAAGACATTCTAGTACCCCCACTAGAGCTAATTAAATAGTATATATATAGTTCAGACAAAATAGAGCAGGAATCCATTGTAAGTGCAGAGGTGCAAGCACAATGAAGAGAATTTATCAAAACTGGAGCAGACAAAGTCTGGAGCAGCTGTGCATGGCAACCGATCAGCCTCTCTCTTTCATTTTCAAACATTAACTAAACAAACTGAAGAGAGAAGCTGATTGAAGCAGTTGTGCTCCAGTTTTGATAAATTCCCCCCACTGTGTCTCTGCTCAAATGGGGGACAGAGGCATTTTGGTATCTGACCCTTGGATGTCAAAGAACTTTGTCCTGAAAATATCTGAAGCATCACTCGCACACAGACCTCGTGATTCCTAACAAATGACAACTAAAGGAAACAGCTACATCAATGACATCACTGCCTGCACACCTGAAGCTTTACCATAGACATATGTTTGAGTCACTAGGTTCTACAGTATGTTAGGGATGATTCTAGATTCAGTGCAGTCGGCTGAGCCACCAATGGGAGTTTGATATTGACCGCTTGGTAAGGGTATTGTCTACCAGTGCCAACAAGATCAGACTAGAAACAGGTAGGAAATAGAATATAAAAATTATTGTTTGCTGTATTCTTTCTGTCAATCTGCATCATAATGCTCACAAGTTTTACTTTAGATTACCTGTCACATTACAGGTGAAACTCGAATAATTAGAATATCGTGCAAAAGTAATTGCAGTAAGTGCTGCAAAAGGGGCCCAAACCAAGTACTGAGTACATATGCATGCTTGTACTTTTCAGAGGTCCGATATTGTTCTATGTACAATACTTGTTTTATTGATTGCATGTAATATTCTACTTTTTTGAGGTTGTGGATTTGGGGTTCTTGGGGTTTTCATGAGCTGTAAGCCATAATCATCACAATGATGACAAATCATGGCTTGAATTATCTTGCTTTGCATGTAATGAGTCTATCTCATATATTAGTTTCACCTTTTAAGTTGCATTAGTGAAATAAATGAACTTTGCACGATATTCTAATTATTCGAGTTTTACCTGTATAGCTAAAATTATAATTATCTACCAGTTACCAGTGCAGTTACAATGTTTGCCTTGTCCCAAGCAAATCTCCTGTACGATTGCCAGTGATGGCTCTAAAAACAAGTGTTTAATCCATGGCACAGCTATCTTGTACAAGTCCAAGCCACTAGAATCAGCAGGCCTGATGGGCACGAAAGCATATGTGCATACATGAACACATTGAGTGTGCGCAGACAAGTACATTGTATGCTCACGAAATGTACTGTGTGCCCCCTTGATGTGCATGGAACATGAATACATGGAATTTACTAAAAAGTGTGGTTTGCTGTGAAATGCACTTTCCAGTACTGTATATGGATGTATGGCAGCTAAGCAGCGGCAAGCTGAAACTAAAAACAAATGTTCTCAGTGTGGACAACTATCATAAATAGAGACTGAAAGAAAATCCTAATACAAAAAAAGCCTCAGTGAGCCTTATGCTGGAGCGGCATTATACTGCACATGCAGAGACCTTTTTTTTTTGCATATGCGCAGGCGTTTAAGCACTAGACATAGGAGATTCCATACATTGGTGCTTGGAATAGTGATTCCAGTGATAAACACCTTTACATACTGTTTTTTTTTTTAGTCTACAACAGCATAGTGACATTACGTTTAGCTTGGCGAATGCACATTTCACTGTTTAGTGAGCTGGTCACGTGATTATTTTTAAATTTTACTTTATTTAAAGAAAAATACTGATGTGTATTGGACAGACGGCACAGAATCAGATGTCCAATGCAATAGGACAGCACTGTATTTGTTAAATATCTGGGTATTATCAGCTGGGCAGTTGTCAGGAACAAAATGTCTGTAGATATCTGGGCATGCATGTGTGCCCGTGATGCAAAGGTACCATAACAAATTTTGGTTGCTTTGCTGGTTCATTTGCTTTAGTAAATTAAGTCCAGTGCCTATTAATTGTTCATACTGTATTTCCTACTAGGACTTACCTGAACTTTATAACATTACGAATTATTTTAATTTTTCTATTCAGATAATGGAAAGATTTTTGTCCAGAAGAAGCCGACCATGTACCCTCCTTGGGAGAGCACATTTGATACTCATATTAATAAAGGAAGAGTCATGCATATTATTGTGAAGGGGAAATCAGAAAGGGTGACATCAGAGACCACAATTGAACTGAATTCATTAGCTGAGCGATGTAAAAAGAACAGCGGAAAGATGGAGATATGGGTAAGATCTATTATTTGTTTTATTCATCCTTTACATTTTTGAAAGGTGTCACAAGGCTTGCCAAATGAAAAGTTATTAACATTCAGGCTACATTCACACTATGCATGAAAGTGCGATTTGGGATTTCTGCAGCAGGAACCTTCTGTGCATCCAGGGATAGTGATTTATTCCAAACCACATGTAATCGTATCACATACTATTACATGCGGAGTGCCACTTACAGATGGGGCCACTGTCACCCGGCCATTTGCTTGAAAGGGTGACAGCGGCTGCATCTAAATGTAATATTTAAGATTCCTACTGCAGGAATCCCAAATCACACATTCACACATAGTGTGAATGTAGCCCCAGTTCAAAATGGCATAGAAAATAATGTTGATAATTTGCAGGTTGAGGCTTACGCTGGCCTCATCCAGCTTACTGTGTATACTGCACTGCTAGATATCAAGAGTTCTCTCACCATACTCTGAGAGCCAGAGACAACAAAGGGAGATATGACCGTACACTGTCTCTCTCATTCCATTTAATCATCTTATAAGAGGAATCAGTGCCTCTAAAATGGGTTGGTATAAAATAGGGTTGCACAGATACCAAGTACAGTACTCGGTACAAGTACGAGTACATGTACCGATACTTTTGAGCTCCAAGACTACACTAGAGAAAAAATCAAAAGTTAGGAGGCATCTGTCATTTGTAAGGAGCACACGGAGCTCCTGGGATTTGTACATCTCTGTTTTAATGTATGATTTTGTTTTTATAAATATAAATAAAGGGATGCACAGATACCAGTTTTGCGAGTACAAGTACTGGTACTTGAGTAAAGCAAATATGTTGCGCTCGGTCTATGTAATCCAACTGCACACTAAAGTGTTAATAAACGAATCTGTGTAAAAATTACAACAATCCGTGTGAAAAAATTGATTCAAGTGGATTATTTACATATGACTAGAAGGTTCAACACACAAACATAATAAGAATAATAAAAATCAACACTGGAACCTTCAGAATTAGTGCCAGTGATCAACCTCATTGGTTCAGCATGTATATTTTAAACACGTGAACCTCTGGCCAGCGGTGTAGTAAAACAACACAGAAAACTAAAATTTAAATCGTGATATTAATTCAAGCTGTGAACAAACTTTGAAAAGGAAGGAGGGGCTCTGTGGTGGCCCTCCAATACTAAAAAAACAAAACAAAACAAAAAAAATAAATAAAAACGTGCAAATAAATCAAAACTCTAAAATAATAACAGCAAAGAAACTGACATTTCAAGGGGCATGTATCATTACATGCATAACCAACGAACAGCACAGAGTTTCCACGTCTTCCCCATTATTTGACGTGATATCGTCCCTTATATGCACATATAGATTATTTTTTACGTAAATGCAAACACCCCCCCCCTCTTCTCCCACCTCTGTCCCTCCTAAACAGGTTATACCCCTCTATATTAGTAGCCCAGTCATGCGTGCTGTCCAGCCAGGTTTCCGCTATACCCACTATGTCGAAGTCCTCTTCAATTAACCTAATTTCAAGCTCCTCTATTTTATTTGCCAGACTTCTAGCGTTGGTGTACATACATTTAATTCCTCTCTTTTTGTGGGACAAAAGTTTACTACCTTGTTGTTCCCCACTATTTTTATTGTTATTATTCTGCCTTGATTTCGGTCGTCCGTTGTTAGTTATACTTACATGTGCCAACGGATTTCCTATATTGACTGGAGTGAGCCCACTATTATTAACTCCTTTTTTACTACTTTCTGTGTTATTTTTATCTATGATTAAATTATCAACGTTTAGTTTAAGTAATTTTATTTTTATACCCTCCCACACACTTTCTAGTTTAAAAGCTCCTCCAGTCTTTCTACCATTTTCTACCATGAGTAGTTCTCATGAAAATGCTAAGTATCTGCACTGGTACTCGAAAAGTATCTGTGCATCCCTAATATAAACGAATGAAAAATAAACCATGATTGACAAAATTAATATTAGTATTGGTACAAAAGTATGAGCTTAGAGCGTATTTCCACTTTTACAGTCAACTTGAGAAAACTGTATGTTTGTTATGTGTTCCTATTCATGCAAATTTCTTACCTTTTAGATGTGTCTGTCCTCATAGAAGGGCCATGGACAGACTGATCTCTCTCTCGTTAACATACAATGCTTATTGTTCTTTTACCCCTTTTTTAAGACAGACAGTGATCATATCTTATTTACAAATGACAATGAGATTTACCAGCACAGTACAGACAATGTTAATTATGTTAACATTAACCTGCCCAGCACCCTGTGCATCCCCAAGCAAATCTTAGTACAGAGAACAACTTTGCATTCAGAAAAAAGCATGAAATGTAAAAAAAATAAAAATAAGTTATGATATGTGAATGAGAAACTTGCCCAGTATGGCAAATGCTGGCTGTCCTCACCACAGTTTTATTGTGCTTTTTCTTCTTTATTAAATCAACCCAGTTGTATGCCATCGGATGCATAAATAGATACTAAGCCATCTATCTATGTCTAAATATATATATATTTTTTAAAAGAGGCATGGTTTCATAATGTAATAGTTATCACATGTAAAAAGTCTGTAGCCTCCCCCCCTCCCCCCTGCACTTACCTCTCTCCTCTGGTTCCATCCTCCGGGCTCCGCCGCCGAGTCTCTCCTCACTATGCAATTGATAAAAAATAAATAAATACAAATTAAAAAAATTATTAAATAAAAAATAAAAAGTGATAAAAAAAGTTTTAAAAAATAAAGAAATGTTAAAAAAAATTGAAACTAACCCCGCCGCCCTGCCATCTGGTTGCCATTCTAGCGGCAGTGAGAGTAAAGGAAGGTATCTAATTAATTTTTTTATGTAACCAGTGTGTTTAGAAAAAGAATGTCAGCGATGGCAGCCTATGTGTTTCTCTTGTGACAGTTTACCTTTAATATCACTAGGAAGGGTAAATCACAATTGTGATATTCATTGTGGAAAAAACAGGAGAACATATGTTCCAGCAGTAATTTTGTAAATCTTGAAAGTTCAGATTCACCAAATTAGAAGCAATAACTCGTGAGCGCATTGATCATATCATAATTAAGTGTGTTTTTTACAATCATCTTTCTTCAACTATATAAAATAATGTAAAAATATTGGAGGAATCTGTCATCAGTAAAATGAGTGTTCAGAATGAAAATGTTCTTTTGCTTTCTGTACAGATAGAACTCAAACCACAAGGCAGAATGATTATGAATGCAAAATACTTCCTGGAACAGACAGGTATCATAATTTTCTACTTATACGCATTGTATGTAAGAGTATGTAGGCTTTATGGTAACCTTCTCCTTATAGGCAGGAGATTTTGAAAGCAGAAGCTGCATGTATGTTGACCTATAACAGAGAGCACGCCACCCCCCCACCCCCTGAATTCTAGAGCACTCTTTTATGTAAATCTCAACCAGCTCCTGTGTATAAGAGCATAGGCTACCTCCCGTACCTCAATATTGTCCTGCAACTATAATAACTAAATCTTGTGATTTAGTACAGCCACTTCTAACTTGTTGCTCTTACCAGATGTGTTGAAGTCCCATATGGGAAATATGAATCTGTTCACAAATCAATTAGTATACTGTACATTCCTACCATTTTTTTAGGACGTTCTTTAGTTTTCTGCTGTCATCCTTTATCATTCTTAGGTCTTTATTTTTTCACCCATACTATGCTCTGGTCTATCCTTCCTAACTGTGCTTGGTCTCATACATCCACGAGAGTTCCCATCCCTCTAATGCTTCCCTTAATTGCTTGCCTTTCTTGAGTATCTGCTACACAGCCACTGTGTTTTCTAATTTCTGTGTTTGGTTTAGCCCTTCTAATCCTTTTCCCTGCCCTCTCATGTGTTAGTCTTTTGGCTTCTAGTCCCTGTTGATGTATCCAGACTTTTGGGCTTTATCTGGACCTCCTGTCTGCTATTTTGGTAACAATCATGGCTTGACTTCTGAATCCTGTTTTGATCTGTACTGCCTAGCCTGTCAGCATGTGTATAGATTACAATTCTTTTTCTTTACTTTGCTTAAATTTATCTGGCGTCACCAGTAAAGTAATCCCAAAAGTTGCAATCTGGGAATGTCATGCAGTATAGTCAACATTACCACGAGAAGGAATCTACTGAAGATTAAGTTTTTTTATGCCTTGACATAAACTTGTGCAAACCAGAGGTAACATGAAGCACCTACACTAAGCCATATCCTTTAAACTCAAACCCTTGACCTGTGACTCCTATACCTGTACTTCCTCTGGATACTTGATTTATTTATTCTGATCATTTTATTGGGTTTCATTGCTTTAGAAAACAATAAATCACACAAATATTAGCAGCAGTCGTTTGCATGTTTATGACACAAATTTATTACCAAATCAGTTCACTTTTAATAGGTTCAGAGATTGTACACATTTTAACTGTGCTAGTCATCATCAGCAATACACATAGTCCTGCAAAACATTCTGTAAAGTTATATTTTATTGCTAAACATGGATCCTTTTTAACATTTGTGTTTTCTACAGATCCTAAAGGTCATTTTGAATCAGAAGCAGAAAGCCAGTTTCCCTTACATCAACGCCGCGGAGCCATTAAACAAGCCAAGGTTCATAATGTCAAGTGTCATGAGTTTATAGCCACCTTCTTCCCACAGCCAACATTTTGCTCCGTCTGTCATGAATTTGTTTGGTAATCCTCATGTTTTTCTGTACGTTCAGATTCATAGCATAGACCATAATGTTTACCTTTAGATACTTACAATACATATCAATGCTCTTTACACAATTGTGGGTGCAAGTTGACTGTAAATATTCTATGAAGAGCACATTTCCATTTTGTTGCTTTTTCTCAGTCTATTATTCAATAGAGTTACACTGATCTTTATAATGAGGAACAACTAAGTCAAGGTTTATTTAATAAAAAAAAAAAACCATTACTGAAGCTGTAAAACTGAAAAGAAGAGCGTACAAGTAAACTTAGCATCTCAATGCATTTTTATTGAAGGAATAAATGGGAATAGCATGACCCTACCTCCCTTTAGATGCAAAGCAGTTCACAGTGAGCTCCCAAATATCAGCATGTATTGAACCATTAGTGATCAGGCCATTACTGGCTGTTGCATCCTGTCATTTGAGCTGGAGTTGGGTGAACCAATGTTTCAGGTTTGACATTTTCACTGCACTTTTAACATGTTTACAATAAGCAAGCATTAATATCAGTAGTACAAACTTTTTTTTACAACCCAACCATACAAAGATGTGTAAGTTTGGAGAGATGTAATAGCTGTTATGGTGCTGCAACTAAGTACAGTTTAGTACTTGGTTGATATATACTATGACGCAAATGTTAATGAATAAACACCTTTGTTAATACTTTTGAAAGCAAACAGCAAATGGACACAAGTCTGTTATAGAATGCAAAAATATTTTGACGTCAACATTCCTCTTAGCTAACCTAATTTCAATCAACCTGTACAAACCATAAAATAGAATAAAAATTTCAATCAGCCTGTAAAAAAGCATGAAATTATTATCAAATATAACCAAATCTTCAATCAACCTGTAAGAACCATAAAATTAAATATATGTGCCTATTATTGCTTAGAATGGGATATTACAAACTTAAAAAATGTTTTTGTTAATCTTCAGATTGATCCCCATGTTCACGTAGAGTTACTGGGACCCCAAACTGTACACATGGCAAAAGCTTCTCAAGAATTTGAGATTAAGCCCCACCCCCTGTCATTCAGTTGTCAAATGTCTGTGCCTCCACTGCCCACTGAAGCTCTGGCATTTGACACTTGGATAATAGCGACATGGGGCATTATTTTTACTTTGGTAGAAACAAAGGTCCTATGTATAATAGGGGCATCAGGATTAATTTGATGACTGACACAGTTACCTACAGGCAGCAGATAATAACTGCACATCTGTTACCTTAGGCATATTTAGGTCTTATCAATACCACATCAAGCATTTAGGCAAACATATGACAATGTTTCTTAATCCAGCTCTAAGTGTATTAAAAAATAATTATTGAGTGAAAGTTTCACATTTAAATGTAGCTAATCCAAAACTGAATCATATCATTTTGCAATGTCTGTTTTTCCTATGGTTTCACCTGGCTATTTGTACACTCATTTTTTTTAATATAGTATTCTGCTTGATTAATGAAACAATAGGATTAAAGAATTTACCTTGTACAGAATTTTAGCATAAGTTTGCCTCCAGATTCAGGGGAAATGGAAAATAAATGGTTTTCCTCTGAAATGCAGCATAATCCTAAAGCCTATCTCCAGTTAAAAAAAACTACTTTTGCAAAAGGGTTACCCCCACACTGCAAGGGTTAACTGGTTGTTTTAATCTAGAGAACCCTTGTAAAAGACTTGTACTTACATGATCCCTGGTCCATGACCAACTGCTGCAACCTTGGTAGTTCTCATGAAAATGCCAAGTATCCGCACTAGTATCTGAACATCCCTACCCCCATCTAACCCCACTGCAAGAGTATTTTTTTTTATTTACCCAGAGGTTGGCTTTAAGCTTAAGTTGTGTTACAGAATGACTTTTCTAATGTCATACTCAAATTACACCAGTATTGAAACAAGTCCAACTACAGTGAGAGTGCTAAGCCACTTGCACTCTACTTAACATTACACCCAAGTGAACTATAATGACCCAGGTTTTACAGATTACTTCAAGGCAAACATTGTTTAATAATAATTTGTCAGTTAAAACTACCACATGCTGTTTTCATATACTGTATCTTTCAAGTACTTTGGGGGTGAATTATCCCCGCCAAAATGTCCTAGCTCTACATTTTCATGAAGATCTGGGGCTGAAACAATTGTGAAACACTGATCTGTGCTCACAATCAAAGAGTAAAAATGGGTGCAGGCCCTCTAACCAAGAGCTGTTCATGTGGTAAAGACCACACTCTCAGGGAATTATGGGGCAGCCTTTGTGCCCTGGATTTTGCACCTGTACATTTGTGCCATGCAGTGAGCTTAAATACAGTGACTGACTGTACCCAGTGGCAGCATGCTTACATTTTCACTTTCTGATGGCAATATATAAGGTAAAAGTTGCTAAAAAAACAAAAACTAAACCCATAATTCCTTCCAAAATACATAGATACATACAGTACATACATACACTGAGTGGCCAGATTATTATGACCACCTGACGTTTGTAGGCAAATTAGCTATAATTAGCTATAATTTCATCCTGAAGTTGCTAGAGGGCCAGACCATTATAAATAGGGAAGCAGGTTGTTTACCACGACAGTAGAAGTGATTTTTTTTCTGAAGATATGGGTAAACAATGCGATTTAACAGCCATTGAATGTGGGATGATTGTTGGCGCTTGGAGCCATGGAGCGAGTATCAGCAAAACAGCAGAATTTGTTAAATGTTCAAGAGCAGCTGTTGTTAAAATGTTTAAAGACTGGACTGTCAGCCGAAAATCTGGGTCTGAACGTGCGAATTGTGGCCCTCAGCGACTAGTCAATGTTAGGGCAGAACGGAGAGTGGCAAGACTGGTACAAGACAACAGAAGGGCAACAGTGCAGTGTCAGATTCCTCGCATCACCTTTCAACATCTCGTGGAGTCACGAGG